AACGCACGGTCTTAGTATGGAGTTACACAGCCTGTTTCCATGCATCTTTGAAGAAAATGTTTCCTACTGAAGAAGTGTTAAATTCATAGACACTCTCCATGATCTAAAAGCCTCACAACATTCCAGATACATCCCTGAAAACAAAGAACCACGTGATTTTGCTGTGGCGCATGCTTTGAACAGTGAGAGGGCTCAGAGGCCTGTTCATTGAAGCCATGGGGACTTTGACAGCTAGGACGCATCCCGGTTACTGCACATCAGAGAGAAGCACCTCCGAGTGCTACCTCAGAGTGAAAAGTGCTACAGCAGGAGGAAAGTCGTCCTGAACTGTAAGGGACATTTTAGAGTAAGCTGTATTCTAATGGTGCTATTTGAAGACTAAGCATAAAGTCTCTGGCCCAATGAGAGATTTCTAAAAGCCAAGAACAATCAAGAGACACATGTTGAAAGACAGTCTCTTGAAATGCAGAATAAAATCAGAACAACAGAGGGAACAGTGAGTATCCTTGCTGCACAGAGCACAGTTAGGCTGTGCCTTGTTTTGTCCAATTACAGTTATAAAACCAAGACCTACTGGAGCCTAAGAGACCGCCAGAACCATTCCAGTGCATCCTGAGCTGTGGTTTGAACCCCATAGAGCTTTGGAAAAATGAAATTTTTAAAATAAAGCTGTGTAGATTCATGTGTAACAGTAGGAGCTGAATGACAGGAGGCCCTTCCCCTCTTCGTCCGTTTTGTTCTTTCTACTTTCTATATATTTGTTTACAGGTACATGGAGATGCCACTTGAAGGCATCGGTGACATAGATGTGACCACCATTTTGCTTTTTTTTAAAATGTGGAAATGTCTTAATCCCATACTGTCTCAAGTGTTTCACATACATGTTGACGAATTTTTGTTAGATCTATGTATGGCAATACTGTTCTCACCTGACTGCTTAGTAAATATAAATTGAGCAACTAATCCAGAAATAGGAAGTCCATCATGTTGCAAAACCTAACTTTTTTGTGTGTTAGGCTTTAATCCCCAAAGTAGAAAATTACACAGCTTACTTCATGTGACAGTCACCTGACACACTGAAACCTCAAGCTCACTAAAGCACTATATAAAGTTACCTGCCACGTGGCGAAGGTATACACAAAACATTCGTGGATTTCAGGCTCAGAACTGGGCTCTATCCTTAAGCTACTTCAACACGTGTGTATGTAAACATTCCAAAGTTCTGAAACATTTAAACCTAAATCATTTCTGTTCCCACACACACTAGGAGAACACATGGTTCTTGTCGGGAGCTACGCTCTGCCCCTTGGATTATTTTAATACATGTCTGTATTTTTGAAATTAAAAAAAAGATATAAAGCAATTATTAAATATTCAAATAATATTTAAAAGTAAATTCCAGTTATTTAATGAAAACATCAAGTACAGTCACCACAGATCTGAGAGTGGCTACTTTGTGGACAACTTCAAACTGGTCACTTGAAAGCTGTATAGCCACTTGACCAGTAAATGCAGTAAGGGACCATACCCTGGACTCTGTACTGAAGGGGGGTGTGGGGGGAGGGGTGGCGTCTCGCGAGACACTACAGATCCTGACTGACTGAGCAGAGAGCAATAGTGATCCTAGGTTATCTGTTGGTCACTGTTGTTACTCTAGTGACAAATGATGCAACCTCAAAGCCTGTTTCACTCTCCCATCCCTGACTGGCTGCATCCCCATTCTGCTTATCTTCCTTACCCCAGGACCCACGCCGAACAGCAGCCTACAGAGAACAGTCTCATCCCTGACCCCACTGCTTCTGTTCATAGTTTATTGGCCAGAACAAGTCACATGACCAAGTGGGTCAGGACTGAGCCACATGGGGCGTGGCCAGTTAGGGGAGGGCTGTTAGATTCTATACAGAAGGGCAGAACTGGACTCTCCTGCTCTGTGTTAATTCTATTTCTTGGTTAAGCTGTAGACTATACTAGTTTCAGTGCAGATTAGCAGTCATTTAGAGGAAAGCACTTGCCGTCGATGAAGGACGTAATGACTTTCAGGAACCTCACAGGCTTATCTCTATGGCTTGAATACTTGGAAGATTGAAAGCCTCAAATGACTGAGTTCCTTTCCAGAAAGTTTCCCCGGGGTTTCTGTTGTGCAAAGAAGTCAGCAGGGGTTTCTGAGCACCTCCCTGATGTTGGTGAGAGGATGCAGGAGCTTCAGGACACTGCCACAGAATGACGCGGGTCATTTATTTACCACACTCATGTCATCTTAATGCCAGCCACGTGTCGTGAGGACAAAGAGTAATCGTGATCTCGAGGAACTTGTGAGAAAAACAGTCAGTCACCCAAGCCTTTTGTCTTACTTGGTTTGCTCTCAGTTGTTTTACTCTAAGTTGCAAGAGAATATGTGTCTGTCAGCAACCAGTGACCTTTCTTTCTTTTTCTTTTTTTTTTCTTTTTGGTATAATAATTACAGAGCTGATCTGTTAGTGGGAGAAGTTCAAGGTTTTTGAAAACACATATTCAGTGCTGAGAGTGTAGATCACTTGTTAGTTTGCCTAACACATGCAAGACCTTGAGTTCAATGCCCTCTACCACAAATAGTTTTATTACATGTACATGTGTGTGTGTGTGTGTGTGTGTGTGTGTGTGCATGCTCATGCTAGAGAGAGAGAGAGAGAGAGAGAGAGAGAGAGAGAGAGAGAGAGAG